CTGCTAGCTCCACATCAGACCTGCCTGATCCCCGGCCTGCTAGCGCTGCTAGCCGCCTGCCTGATCCCTGGCCTACTCCTGCTCCCAGGTCTCACTCGGTCGTCCTACCGACACCTGTTACTGGTCCCTCATCGAAGGTCCGACTGACACCAGTTCCAAGGTCTCCGTCGGTGGCCAGACCGGTTCCCATTCCTCGTGCTCCGTCGGTGGTCCGACCGGCACCTGCTTCGCCGGTGGCCCAGCTTACTCCTGTTCCCTCGTCGGTCGTCCGACCAACACCAGCTTCGTTGGTGGCCCAGCCGACTCCCATTCCTCGTGCTCCGTCGGTGGTCCGACCGGCACCTGCTTCGCCGGTGGCCCAGCTGACTCCTGTTCCCTCGTCGGTGGTCCGACCAACACCAGCTCCGTTGGTGGCCCAGCCGACTCCCATTCCTCGTGCTCCGTCGGTGGTCCGACCAACACCAGCTTCGTTGGTGGCCCAGCCGACTCCTGTTCCTCATGCTCAGTCGGTGGTCCGACCGGCACCTGCTTCGCCGGTGGCCCGACCGGCACCTGCTTCGCCGGTGGCCCAGCCGACTCCTGTTCCCTCGTCGGTGGTCCGACCAACACCAGCTCCGTTGGTGGCCCAGCCGACTCCTGTTCTCCCGTCAGTGGTCTGACCAACACCAGCTCCGTTGGTGGCCCAGCCTGTTCCTCGTGTTCTGTCGGCAGACGGACCGGCTTCAGCCCCGCCGGTGGTCCGGCCGACCCCTGTTCCTCGTGTTCTGTCAGCGGATGGACCGGCTTCAGCCCCGCCGGTGGTCCGGCCGACCCCTGCTCCTCGTGTCCTGTCGGCGGATGGACCGGCTTCAGCCCCGCCGGTGGTCAGGCCGACCCCTGCTCCTCGTGTTCGGTCCATGGTCCCCAGCCCAGCTGTCCAGTCGGTGGTCAGGCCGACCCCTGCTCCTCGTGTCCGGTCCATGGTCTCCAGCCCAGCTGTCCAGTCGGTGGTCAGGCCGACTCCAGCTCCTCGTGTCCGGTCCATGGTCTCCAGCCCAGCTGTCCAGTCGGTGGTCAGGCCGACTCCAGCTCCTCGTGTCCGGTCCATGGTTCCCAGCCCAGCTGTCCAGTCGGTGGTCAGGCCGACTCCAGCTCCTCATGTCCGGTCCATGGTTCCCAGCCCAGCTCTCTCGCCGGTGGTCCTCAGCCCAGCTGTGCCTCCAGAGCACCCAAGCTTTGGGTGCCGACCTCCGGAGAGGTCTTGCCGTAGGCCTCCTGCTCGGCCCCCAGTGGGGTTGCTGCCTCACTGTTGGCCGTCCTGCCAACCCCTTGAACTCTGTGGCCCCCTTGTTCTGCCCTGCCTCATGGGTCGTCCCACGGGACGCCCACCTGAACTGTTTTGCCCTCCTGGTCTACTCGGTCGACCTCCGGGTCTGCCTCCTGAACTTTTGTTCACCTCTGGCCACCCGGGACGGCCTCCTGAACTGTGTTTACCCCCTGATTTGCCCGGCCTGTCGGGTCATCCCCCGGGACGACCTCCTGTACTCCGTGATCTCTTTGGTCTGCACGGCCTCCTGGGTCGCCCTCCAGGACGGCCTCCTGAACAGTGTTTTCCCCCTGATTTGCTCGGCCTTTCGGGTCATCCCCCGGGACGGCCTCCTGAACTCCGTGATCCCTTTGGTCTGCACGGCCTCCTGAGTCGCCCTCCGGGACGGCCTCCTGAACTGTTCTGTCTCTCTGCCCTGCCCTGCATGTTAGGCCAAGTGCCTTACCTGCCCTGTTTCCTGGGCATGATCTGCCTGTTGGGTGGTTCCCCCGGACTGTTTTGTCCCCTTGGCCTGCTTGTGCGACCTCCCGAACTCTGTCGCTCCCTTGCCTTGCCCTCTGGCCACCCTCCTGAGAGTTCCTGGTCTGGCCCTCCTCCTATCCTCCCTCTGCCCACCCTGGCTCGACTTGCCCTCCTCCTGTCCTCCCTCCGCCCACCCTGGGCCGGCTTGTGCCTTGATTTTGTGCTGTTTTGGGTTTTGTTGACCGTCTGGAGACGCTCGTCGGGGGGGGGGGGTACTGTCACGCTCTGCCGGTTGGCCATCCTTTGTGTTTACTTTTGAGTTTGGTATCTGCCTTGGTATGTTGAGTTTTGGGTTCTGTCCTGTCTAGTGTCCAGTATCTGTTATATAGTCTGCTTGTCATGTCTAGTCTCTCTGTTTTCCTCTGCTCTCTCTCTCTGCCTCGTTAGTCTCATGTCTTTCACCTGTGTTGCTCCCGCCCTGCTCGTTAGTCCCTGTGTGTGTGTATATATACCTGGTGTTTCTGTCTTGTCCTTGTCCGGTCATTGTTCATGTTACCCCCCAGTCTGTCGTGTGTGTACTCTCTGCCTGTAACCAGCCTTGCTTGTCTCGTCTTGTCTCGTCTCCCGGTACTTTTGGATTTTGGATTTCAGTTATTCGGCCACTCACCTGTAAGTGTGCTCGCTTTTGTTTGTTTATTAAAACCCTTCGTTGTACCATACCTGCCCCGCTCTGTGTCCTGCGTTTGGGTTCTCCAACCTGCCTCCACACCACGATCGTGACAGATTCAGTATTTGCTGAGGTCGTTGCATTTTATGACTAGCATTCTTGCCAACTTCCAGACATCAAAGCCTAAACTGGGAGACAAACCTAACCTGGTCTCTAAGAATATATAACAAATATAATATAAATATAAAATACATACAGAATATAATGTAGTATCATATATAAGACTTTCAAGCATTATGTATTTCTTTCTTTCATGATTTAGTATTCCCTCCTCTTTTGTGTCTTTTATTTGGGGAAGTAGCCTCTTTAAACACGATTGTGGCATCTTTTCACCTCAATGATGAATTAATTGACTCCACGACTTTAATAGCTTCTGCTCATGCTCAGGTTTTCTGCTCATGTTCAAAATGTGTTTGTTGTCATGTTGAGAAAAGTCATAATATTACATAACTAACATTCTCATTGAATGAAATTCATAATACGTGGTTGCTCCACCTGTAGGATCCCCTTCAGACCGTCTGGCAGACACAGAACCCCGTTTGGGACTGGACTTAGTAGGCTAAGAAAAAATTGGTTTCTGCATTGCAGTGTTTTAAACCCAACCATTTTGGCGTGCCGTTAATTGTCCACTTAACCAGCAGCAGCTCTAGCACAGGAAGCTTTTTTCTATAATATCAAGCAGGAGAGCCTCAGGCGCGTCCCAGTGTCTCGCATGCACCAAACATGACATCTAGACTTTTCTCAAAGAACATAAAAGTTGAGTCCGTCACAGTACAGCCACAGTCCGTTAGACCTGTAGACTGCCATTCTTTTTTGTAGTAGTAGTAGTATTATTATGATTGTCAAGTGTCTCATATACAGGATATATGTCCCTCTTTATATCCTCCTGGTTGTTGTTTCTTTGTGTTTTGTCCCTTCTCAATCTGGTTCCTTGGCCCTCAAATCAGGATCTACATACAAGCTTTTTCTAAAGCTTTCTACTGTAGCACACAGTCTTTCTCAAACGACTATTTCCAAGGTCAAGCATTAAAGTGATTAAAGTAAGACTGTGTCAATCATGAAAGAAAAAATTAATTTCTTGTTGAACTCTTGCTCAGTTCAACACACTCAGGTTCTTTGCTGCCTTTTGCAGCATTCAGACCAACAGCGAATGTTCTCCTCGCGACGCTTTCCTCGCGTGAGTACATTTGCTGCAAGTGTTCACACACAACGCGAGAAGGCGATTTTAACGCGACAATGTCAACAAACACAACTTGCCATTACTACAGCTGTATGAACCCAAAGTAAACATTTTGCTGTGATTAAATAGCAATAAACGGATTAAACTGATGCCAAAATAACTACAACACGATGCAGATTTGTTAAACATATGAATTCATGCTTTGTCAGATCTGTCAGCAAGACAGCAGGACAACAACTTCTAAAATGTTTGTTTTCTGAATGGAGTTTGGATCGATCAGGGCTATGCTATGCTAACTTGGTCACAGTAAAGTACAACGATGGCTGTAATAAAGTTACACACACATGTTTTCTGAACTCACCAGGTAGTTCAACTTCCTCACTTTCTTTTCTCCAAGTAATGTCCAGTTTTGTCCGTATTTTTGCGCATGCGTAAGACCCACAAGCGTGGTCTGTTTCCACGCCCATAAATCTGTGCAACTTTGCTGTTAGGAATGCCGTCGAGACAGTGGCTGATCGTCAGTATCATCAAAAAACAAAAAAGTCATCACAATACGCTACCCTTGATATCTTAAATAAAGATGTTATAATATAGTATTTCAACATGCTCCCCATCTCTTTACAGTACACATGGAGTGAGTAGTGGTGCAATATAAAATTTTTCTGTAATGGAATACGCTACCCCTGAAATAATGTTATAATATAATCAAAAAACAGAATATGTCATAATACTGTGAGAGTTATAACTTTATGGGATTGGAAAAGGGAACACATAAGGTAGCATTTTTCGATAGGGCAGCATAGATCGTCAGAACACCGGCCAGCAGATTTTTAATCCCCCGCTCTGCCCGGCCCTCTCCACACAACACACTGAAGCCGTTGGTTATGTACGGACAATCTCAGCACTGAGCTATTGTGACTCAGCGTCATGCGACTTCTTCGCTTGAGTTGAAAATATTCAACTCATGTGAATTCCTTCGCATTGCCTTCACGTTGCCTTCGCGTCGCTTCACACAGCACGACAGGAAATCGCGGCTCTACGTGTCTTTGCATTGACTTTGTATGTAAACTCACCGCCCCGAAAGGGTCTGAAAGAACCATTACTTCGTCTGGTATGGTGGCTAGTCAGTGAGATCTAATTGTGTCACACCCACACAGTCTGATGAAACTGATTACTATCTTAAGAAATCATCAATAAATTTAATAATATTATTATTATACATTAATAAATGTAAATTATAGATATTTTACTAATTTTTACTCAGGTTATCAAGAAATACTACAATTTCTAGGTCTTTAATCAATATTGAGGTAATTTGCGACAACTTCAAAGAATAACTTTGGTAAACCTTTATTGTTTTTATGCAATAACAGACAAAAAGCAGATTCACACACAACCCTCTGAATCAGAACATTACAGAGTCCTCCAATCAAAGAAGTTTTGATTAATTATAGACACCTCCATCAGAGACACGTGTGATGACATATCAGAGATCAGCATTTACAAACACACTCCACACTGCATGTCGGTCTGGCCTTGTTGGTCTCACAACCATCTGTGCTGGATGGGGTTGTTGGTCTAGCTGTGCTGGTATCACAAGATGCGGGTGTGGGTGTGGGTGTGGGTGTGATTGTGGGTGTGGGTGTGGGTGTGTCTGTTTGTGTGGTTGGTGGTGCTGCTGTTGTTGTTAGTGCAGCCGTGGTGGTTCTGGTTGTTGGTGCAGCCGTGGTGGTTCTGGTTGTTGGTGCAGCCGTGGTGGTTCTGGTTGTGGTCTGTGCGTTGCCAGAGGCTGTTTTGTGCGGAAAATGTCAAATCAGATTTACATTAAGTCTCGAGGCAAGTTTAGATCTTTATTTGGAATGAAAGTTTCTCTTACCAACAAACAGAAGAAGGACGACACAAATCTTTGCAATCATGGTGATGCAGTGATAGTTTCTCCTGTGTGGTGACTGAAAAATATAATTGGTAAATTTAAAAAGTAAATTAAAAGCTGAAAATGGTTATTTGCATTTTAAACAGGAGGAAAAATTGACTTAAATTGTTTGCTCATATTTTTGGCACACCTGTCTTTCACTGAAATACCAAATAAAATAAAACCTTAAAGCTTCTGAATCAGTAATTAAAAGAAACACAACAAATAAAACGTCTCCAACCTCTCCTGGTTCTGCCCTGCTAGATAACAGTTAAGGAATGACTATTATCGTTTCCTCTTTGGCTGACTATTAATTTAATTTATTGCCAAATATCTTTACAAAAAGGTATCTGCAGCAGCTTTCGATAACTTTATAATAATTTGAATGCTCTGAACACAAATTAAATTGTTTACAAGATAAACTAAAGTTATAATAGCTGTGAACACCTGTACTTGTATTTCAATGTGTGTTGAAACATGTAACTTACCTTTTACAATATTATAAATGTATTTTATTTTAAAACAATCTACAAGTTCCCTTCCTATCCCGACAGATTTCTCAAAAGTATTTACATTTTTTGATAAATAAAAAGTTGTGTTTAAATAATAATACTATAGTATTATGGCAAACTGTATTTGTATAGCACTTTTCATGCATTCGATGTGGCTCAGTGTTTCATATAAAATTGTGTTAAAACTTCTAATCTAACTAAACTTACTAAACAGTACTAATAATAACTCGGTACCGAGTAATAATAACTTTCTTCATTGTTAAAGGTGAGCACAAAAACATGTTTCTCTACTCATGTTCCACCCAACCGGTGTGGATTTCTCAGAATTTGTCATTTTACATTTAATTCATTCACACCAGTGTCTGCATTCCAGTGCATTAAACCCAACCTATCCTCATACCATAAAGACAGATAGGTTGATTGCCAGTTAATCTTAAACAAAACTGGCAATTAAAAAGTTCCAGTGACAGGCGTGCCAGACCTTATGTTACGTGTCTTGTTTTATATAAACATGTTTGGCCAGAAGCAGTGTTGTAACCCCACCATGCCACTCTCAGACACATTGTATAACAGGGTTCTTGCAACTTTCAGTCAAATTCAGACCTTTTAAGACCTCAACAAAATACTTTAAGACCCCAAAATGTTCAAACAATTTCTTTGAAAGAAAAGAAATGCGCAATACATCTCTTTTAAAGGTGACCTATTATTCTGCATGTATGTTAACTTGGCATGATTCAAAGTTCATAATTTTCTATCCTATACTGGCCCTTCTTACAGACCATTGTTGCAAAAACTCCACATGGCGGCGCCCTATCAGCCAAACTCAAGGTTTCAAAACGGCAGCCCACAAACCAACGGGTGACGTCACGATGGCTACGTCCATTTCTTACATACAGTTTATGGTATGAACAGGCTGTAGATGTTCCTGTAGGTCTCCTTTAAAACATATCAGCTTTGACTTTCTTCCACACAGGACTCAAATGTCGGTCTCATTTGTGAAAGTCCTGAGTTTACTTGACAAATCCATCCATCCCACCCTCCTAGTCACACTTACTACATACTATGTCCCCTGACTTCCTCTGCCAATGTGATATTATGGGATTCCATGTCAACAGATTTTAAGCTTTTCGCGTGTGATTTAACGGCATTAAGTCCCCACAGACCGCAGCAACAGAAAGGACCTAAATGCTACTCAAAACAAAATGGTTTGGGTTACAATTATGGCGTCACTTAACTTACGCAACCTAAATAAATCTAGTCTTTTTGTTTTATTTTTATTTCAAATGGCATCCGAACGCCTGTCTCTTGGGTCAAAGTCTGGTTTATTATTCACCTAAATCACCTTTCCCAAGCTTTGTCTGAGGGGAGACCCCCCTGGTCTACCACAAAAGAAAAGAAATCGTTGTATGGTGACACCAGGCTGCCTCTGCCACTAGAGGTTGTGGCCTAACAAAAAGTCTAAATATGGGTTGTAATTAGCCATTCAATATTCAACCTTTGCAGTTTTTCTGGTGAGGGCTGGCTGTGATTACAATACGGCACCAAACAAACCAACAAACAGTACGTTAATAAAGCCGAACATCTTTTTGTTTGTTTCTTTCTGCATTAATGAGCAGACTACTGACAGAAGTGTACTTTCTCTCACACACTTCCCAAGCACTTTATTGGTTTGTGTGCGGCATTTCGACAAAAAGGAAGTGGATAAAATATTTACCACCAGTGATATGTAGAGAGCTGCTGTCTTCTCTGCTCCACTTCAAAAACTGGAAGTGCAACAACGTGAGTATAACTGACTCTCTCCTACTGATGATCCACCACTGACTGGTAGCACCGCTGGATACGACTGATTATAATCAATATTTTTTACCTAACACAGGACTGTAAAGAGTAGTATTAGCAGTAGACTGTTGTAGTAATACCAGTGGTAGAAGTAATAGTAGTAATTAACCATAGTACTTCAAGCAGTAACAGCAGTAAAAGTAATATGAGTAACAGTTACATGAATTGTATGGTAGTAGTAGGCCTATTACTTTTGATAACATTGCAGTACAGGCAGCAGAAGTAGTAGTATTGCCTTGGGACAAAGAGTATTATATCAGTATGAGTTGTTTCGCTAATATAAAAGTGTAATGTTACAATTTGGTTGTATAACTAAAATTCATGATCATATCACTATGATCAGAAAACTGAAATCATATAAAAGAAGTTTCCAATTCTGAGAAATCCTGAGTAATTAGCATCTGTTTGTTTTTTCAGAAATACAGTTATTCGCCGTGTATATCAATCAGCTGACTAGGCTTTCACCAAAGTTCACCCATACACCTTCTTTGTTTTATGTGTACACAAACATACAGGTAAAAATTGAAATGCGAAATTGTGTTGTCAGTGGGATCCACAGGCGCAGGCTGATTTCCTCCGCTAAGCTTATGCTAAGCTAAGCTAGTCGCCTCCTGGTCTCAGCTCAATTCTTAAGGCAACGGATAGGTGGTATCTTTTAGTCTAGCTCTCTAAAAAAGGCAAAAAAGCATAGTTCATCAAATATTGAACAATATCTTTAAATTAATGTATGTAGTATTGTGACACCCCTCTGTGGTCTGCGCAAAATATAGCCTCCAAGTTTATTCATGTATTTAAGGAAATGGCTTAAAAAGAGTTAAAACAAGGCTGCAGCTAAGAAAGCTAAAAGTCTCCGGGTCAATTAAATTAAAAAAAGAATCAGTCTCTTTGTGGCTGGGTCTGCTCAACTTTGTTTCCCTGTGTGTGGCGAAACGAAACAACACGACAAGGACTGGTGTGCTGCCGTTGGTCACACAGGCTGGTCGGTTGTGGCCTCCTCACTGTTTGGGGCCTCTGGTAACTCCACTAAGTGGCTGTTGCTCTACACCATGCAACTCTACAGACTGCTACCCAGCCGTGTGCCACACTTTCTGGGATCTAAATTAAATCTGTGTTAAGGTGTGTTAAAAACTACACCTGACTGAAAGCAAAGGCAAGATAAATATGCGCAGGAACGGTTACTTTATTAATGGTAACAGGTGAGAGCGAAAACATTTTAATTCCTCTCTCTGCTTTTGTTCCACTGATCAACCCAACCAGTGTGGATGAGAACCTTCAGACATTATAGCCTAAATTGGGAGAGCAAACCTAACCGGTTACTAGGAAACGCAAAATTCATACAGTAGGTGGTCAAAATATAAAATAACAGAATATAATGTAGTAGCCTATACAAGGCTTTCAAGCATTCTGTATTTCTTTATTTCATGGTTTATTATTCCCACCTCTTTTGCTTTAAACATGATTGTGGCACCTTTTCACCTCATTGATTAATACATTTATTTATAAACTCCAGGACTTTAAAAGCTCTGCTTCAACAGGTTTTCTGTTCATGTTCAAAACATGTTTGTTCTCTGACATGGTGAGAAAAAAGTCATAATATTACAAGACTGACATCCTCATTAAATGGAGTTCATGATATTTTTTAAAAGTCTATCTGCCCTACAGTTGGCTGTGCATTATGTTGTTGCTCCGCTGGTAGGATCCCCTTGAGACCATCTGGCAGACACAGAACCCCGTTTGGGACTGGAACGTTACTGGATGATGATGTTAACTTCAGCAGCTCCAATAAAGTGCAGCTCACAGTCCCAGACACAGCAAGGTTGCACTTTAGTTTTATCAGCATCAGCTGGGTGGAGTTGATTCGCAGTTATCAGTTATACATTTCCACTTTGTGAAACCCAACCTGACCTCATACCCACTATTGGACTGGCTGTCGGAAGCACCAGAAGATTTCTTGGTGGCTTGAGCGCTGTTTTGGCCTGCCATTCCAACTTGACCAACTATACCATAGTGAGCTGTTTTATTTAATATTAAGAAGGAGAGCCTCAGACACGTCTCACTCTCTTGGTGCATGCAAGTGGAAGTGCACTTGACTTACTCTTGAAAGTGAGCTTGAATTGTTTTAGCTATTTGTGCTTTTTAAACTGAAAGTAAAATCCATGTTACATTTCATAAACAGAAAATATTTCAACCAAATGCTTAAAGTATACTTGGTCTATTGTGAAAGTGGAGATTAGTCTGGACTGTTGTTAGACTCCTGGCCTTAATTATTATCTCAGTCTGCCCCTTCTCATACCTAAAAAAACAGACAGGTCGAGTGCCAATGACTCCCAAAACAACATTGGCAGTTTTCCAGCAACAGGCAACAAGTCCCTGCAACAGGCATACCAGACATTATGTTACATAACATGACATAAATGTAATAAATGTAAATAGATGTTTTATTTATCAGCTTATCAAGAAAGACTACAATATCTACCAAAGGTCTTTAGCAAGTAATTTGCTAAACTTTAAAGAATAACTTTGGTAAACCTTTATTGTAGATCATCTTTTTTATGTAATTACAGACAAAAAGCAGATTCACTCGCAATCCTCTGAACCAGAACATTACAGAATCCTCCAATCACAGACAGTTTGATTATTTCCATCAGGGACACATGTGATGACATATCAGAGATTAACATTTACAAACACACTCCACGCTACATGTTGGCCTAGCCGTGCTGGTATCACAACCAGCCGTGCTGGTTGTAGTTGGTGGTGG